TGCTCGGGGCGGGCCTGCCGCTGCCGGTCGCCCGAGCGGGTTCGACGACCGCCCCGGCGCACCGTTCGGGGCAGGGAATCGGGAGCCTCGAGACGGGGGCCACTGCAGACGGGGTCGGCCAGAGCGACAGATCTGGAAGGATCCTCTGCATGAGCCTGGGGTGCATTGGCCCGGGTCGGCGCGCAGGATCTTGCAAGGCCCTACGGGCCCGGATATGCATTGATCCGGGTCAGTGCGTCCCCGAGGGATCAAGCAGTGGCGAAGTGTCCTGGCTCGCCTATAGGCCCACCAGCGAATGTTCTAAGAACCTTGTGTGGTCTGCACGAAACTGTTCTTAGAACAGTTCTGGCTGAGACCGTCCTGTTCTGATTCATCGGGTCTGTGTTCTCAGATGACTGCTTCTGTTCTGAGAACCTTTTGGTCGGAGGTTGATCGACCTCCTTCCCTGACACGTCGATTAAGGAATTGGCCGTTTTCGGTTCGCGAGAGGGCGTCGCGGCCGTCATGTTTGCGGGTCCAGGTCCGTCGCTGTCGGCCCCAGGCCGTTTTCACTAAAGGGAGGTTTATTAAAGGGAGGTTTGTCCACCGCCGATTTGGGGTTCTAAGAACATGTCGTGGCAGGCCGAGGGGGATGCCAAGGCGGTCGGCCCCTGCTCAAAAGGGAAGCTGCGGCGTGCAGCCGGTGCCGGTCCCGGGCCGTGGCCCGAGAGCCGCGGGGCGCCGCGCCGTTGCTCTGCCGCCGTCTTCGCCGCGCTGGGCCTCCTCCTCCTCCGCCTCCGCCTCCGCCTCCTCCGCCTCCTCCGCCTCCGCCTCCTCCTCCTCCTCCTCCTCTTCTTCCTCCTCCTCGGGCCTTCGTCGCCACGACTGGACTCGCCCCGAACGGGTAGTCTTCAGTCGGGCGTGTGCCTCTACGGGAGGAATGCTCAACAGTTGTCAGAGCATAGTCTGGGGACGATTGCTGTGAGCAGTTTTTGAGCATTGTCTGATTATTGTTTGACCATTTTTGATGTCTCGTTCGAAATCCGCCTGTGGGAGGACACGCCCGACCTAGCGCTAGTCAGAACGCATCCAGGGAGAGGTCCAGAAGCGGTACTCTGGTACAGTCGGACCGAGGAATAAGATCGAGGTTTTGTTTGTCCGTGTTTGTTGGATGTCCTTGTGCATCCTGGGGGGGATGCCCTTGGATGTTCTGTATGTTTTGGCCAGCGGAGGGTCTCATGCTCTTGGGGGATGTTCTTTTGGCCTGGGTCCGACTGCAATCAGAACGCATCCCGGGAGAGATCCGGAGGCAGTACATCGGTACCTTTTGGACATCCTCAGCGGGGGGTTACGCAAGGGTGCCCGCTATTCGGTGCGTTCGGCCGCGTCTCGGGCAGGATATGTTGTCGTCATGTAACAATTTGCAAGGAGCCTGATAAGATCTACATTCTCATTTGACTTCGGCAGACCTTTCAAACGTGTTGAAGATCGGAAGGCCTGGGGAGGGTAGGTCACTCCTGCAGCTGGTTTCGGACCCGCCGCCAGGCGCTTTCCTCGACGCGCTGTCCCCAAGATCTTTTGGTATGCCACACCCTCCCCGCCCCAGTCAGATTCCACCGCCCGGGGCCACTTTCAGTGTAGGGATTTTTGTTACCAGGCCCACGACTAGGACGCTCGGCCGCCCCCCGGGGCTTTTTGGGTATAGTATACAGCTTTTTCGGGCGGGCACTGCTGCATCCAGCGCTTGGAGGCGCTGCGGCAATCAGAGCTACGCGAGCTGATTTATTCGCCGAACCCCTCTTTGCTTCCCCCCTCTCGTCCAGCCCGACCGACGCCGAGCCCCCCCACCCCACCCCCGAGAGCCGGAGCTGCGCCGCGATGTGTCGGCTTGTCGACTGGCCGAAGTCCTTCCTGCGCCCCGTTGGCGATGCCAGCCAGCATTGAAACGGGGGCGGGGTTTGCGTCGAGGTTTGTGCCGGCGCCCGGAGGGAGAAAACATTGGCGGTTGTTCTTGAGAGCTCCCGTCGCCACGGTTGGATTATCCGTAAGGGCTTCGCCCCCTGCCGCCGGCCCCCTCTCTCGGAGAATGGGCCATGGAAGAGCTAAGTCATGAGGCCTTGGCGCTGTCGTGAAGCAGTATCGAAACTTCATGCGAAGCCGATTCGCAATCAGCAAAACCAACTGATCACAAGAGGGGTTACCACACCTGGCGATTGGTAAGACGTGTATGGTTTACGGGCTTGGTTACCACACCTTGCGATTAAAGGGCCGAGGGAGTTCTCGCAGTTTGGGTTACCACGCCTTGCGATGGATGTGCGTGAAGGGTGGCACCGAATTTCAGAAATGTGGCAAATCCCTTGTATTTTTTGGACCCTGACCCCGCGGATCTGCGTAAGGGGTGGCGCCGAATTTCAGAAATGTGGCAAATCCCCTGTGTTTTTGGACCCTGACCCCGCGGATCTGCGTGAGGGGTGCACCGAATTTCAGAAATGTGGCAAATCCCTTGTGTTTTTGGACCCTGACCCCGCGGATCTGCTTGAGGGGTGGCACTGAATTTCAGAAATGTGGCAAATCCCATGTGTTTTTGGACCCTGACCCCGCGGATCTGCGTGAGGGGTGGCACCGAATTTCAGAAATGTGGCAAATCCCATGTGTTTTTGGACCCTGACCCCGCGGATCTGCGTGAGGGGTGGCACCGAATTTCAGAAATGTGGCAAATCCCCTTGTGTTTTTGGACCCTGACCCCGCGGATCTGCGTGAGGGGTGGCACCGAATTTCAGAAATGTGGCAAATCCCATCTGTTTTTGGACCCTGACCCCGCGGATCTGCGTGAGGGGTGCACCGAATTTCAGAAATGTGGCAAATCCCATGTGTTTTTTGACCCTGAGCCCGCGGATCTGCGTGAGGGGTGGCACTGAATTTCAGAAATGTGGCAAATCCCATGTGTTTTTGGACCCTGACCCCGCGGATCTGCGTGAGGGGTGTCGATTTCGAGCCCCCCCAGCAATTCAGACAACGCGCCCAGGGGGTGCTAAAAAGCCGGTTTGGGCGTCCCCCCCCCTCGCGCGGTCAATCAATTAGTTACAGTAACCAGCAATAAGTCAACTAGTTACAGTAACCAGCAAGAAGCAGAACTGTAACACTGGAAACTACAAGCTGGAAACTGCGAACCTCGCGCCTACAGCCTGGTGGCCCCACAAGGGGGCCGGCGGATTTTGAAGTCTTGGTCAGAACACCCAGGGACTTGGCATCGCTCGGACGTGTGCACCTTTCCTTCGGCGAGGACAATCTAGGATCTAGGAGCATCCTTGACCATTTGGCGAAAAAACAAGCACGAAACTGAAAAAAAACAGGGAGTGGACGTCCGAGCGATGGCCAGGGGAGAGGTCGGGCGAGTAGTGTGAAGTCGGGCGTGTCCCTCTACAGAAGGGATATTCAAAACGAGTCAAAACATAGTCAGGGCGACGAGCTTCGACCATCTCTGATCATTTTGGGAATAGTGTTGGTGTATGTTTCATTTTCCATCCAAAATCCGCCTGTAGGAGGACACGCCCGACCTCAGAGTGGTGCTGACGGTACCCGCGATGTCCCCGCATGGACAGGAGCGGGCGCGGGAACCCGAGCGGGGGCAGGGGCCGGTTCAGGAGGAGGTCTTGGAGGGCGGCGAGGTCGGAGCAATCATGGCTTGGAGTGTTGCGCTCTGTCGCAGCAGCGTGCTTCCACGCGCCCGCTTCTTGGCATCGTTCGGACGCTTTTGGTTTTTCTCTCCACGGGGGGCCATCGAGAAGCACGAGGCCATCCTGCGAAGCGAAAGCTCGCACGAGAACGAGACGTGCACGGTGGATGGCCGTCCGAGCGATGGCGAGGTGTGGGCAGGGGAGGAAAAAACCACCCGGACCGGACAATTGGCGTTGGCTGCACGGCCCTGGCCGTTTACTGCACAGCCCTGCCCTGCTCGACGCCTTCGGTGGGGGCGTTTGGCAGACGGCTTCGCGTGTCGCGGGGGTTCTTGTGGGGGGTGACTTTTTGCCCTCCATTTTGGGCCCGAGAGTTCCACATGATAGTTTGGCTGCGCGGCGTCGCAGCAAGAAGGCCCGCTGCCGACCTGCAAGGATGGGTGGCTGCGCCCCCCCCCCCTCGCGCGGGAGCGCACGCGCTGATCGACGAGGATTTGAAGAGGGAGGGACGAGCAGTCAGGGGCAACGATAGGGGGGGAAGAAGGCCCCAAAGGGGCCCCTCAGGGCCCCCCTTGAGCACCAGCTGGCTCCAAAAGGGGCCCTGAAGGGCCACTTTCGGGCACTTCTCTTTTCACCCCATGTGGGCCACCCCCCCATGACCCCTCTACCTCCTCCTCCTCAATATCCCTCTCCTCCTACTCCTCCTCCTCCTCCTCCTCCACCTCCTCCCCCTCCTCCTCCTCCTCCTCCTCCTCCTCCTCCTCCTCCTCCTCCTCCCTCCTCCTCCTCCCTCCCCCTCCCCTCTTTCCTCCTCCCCCCTCCTTCTCCCCCTCCTCCTCCTCCGCCGCCTCCCTCCCTCCCTCCCTCCCTCCCTCCCTCCCTCCCTCCCTCCCTCTCCTCCTCCGCCTCCGCCTCCTCCTCCGCCTCCTCCTCCTTCTCCTCCTCGGGCCAACCAGAGCAGGGGGGGGGCGGCGAGGGCGAACGACGGCGAGCGACGGACGAGCGGAGACTGCAGAGGTCCAGGCATGGGGCTGAGGACAGGTCGGGAGGGAAGGACGGGGGCCAGGGGGGCCAAGGGGCAGCGAGAGATAGCAACGGAGCGATAACAAGGGAGGAGCTTCCACGGGAGTTGGACCGCGCAACGCCGGGCACCCGAGCTGCGCGCCGCGGCGGCGGCCGATAGGGCTACGGTTAAGATGGACATGTCCTTCTACACGAGGAATATTCGAGAATGGTCATGGTCAAAAAATATCCAGGGGACGATAGATCGACTATTTACAGTTTTTGTCCAAAATCGCCGTGTAGGAGGACATGCCCGACCTAAGGCTACGGGGGTGCGCCCAGGCGGACAGGGACACGGACGAGGCCAATGCGGCGCGGAGCGCCGAGCTGGTGGAGGCGCGGTGGCCGCCGCCGCTACCGCTGCAGCTGCGCGAGGCAGCGGCTGCAGCCCTCACTTCTGCAATTCGTCTGCGGTAGGTTCGCGTCGTTTCGACCGGCGGCGACCGCGCCGCCGGCCTTCAGTGTTGGAGCGCCGCCGGCGACCCAATGTCGGTCGATGCCGAACGATCTGGATCTTCGGGAACGCCCGATCGTTCAAGGTTGAACGATCCCCGCGGTGTCAGAAGCCAACGCTAGGGTCGACACGACACGAGCCTGCCGTAGCACCCTCCCTGAGCGGCGCGTACAAAGGAGGTCGGCTGGGCCGGCGTACGAATTGCCCGCGTAAGATGCCGAGTGAGCGCCCTCGTTGCCAATGTGGCGTGCCGCGCCGGCGGCCCGCGCCAGCGGTCGCCGTAGGGTCGCTGCGCCGTCTTGTGTAAGGCCCGCTCCTTTTTGTCGCTCACGTGTTCTTCGATGCGGTCCAGCATCGCGCGAGCTTTGGCGCTCCCCTCCTCCCAGTTGTCCACGAGCCCGCCGAGCCGCGAGCGCCGCCGGGGCGTCGGCTCGTCCTGCACTGCTTGGGCCCATGCGGTCGGTCCGCTTCCCCCGCCCGCGCCCGCCTCGGACGGCCCGCTGGAGGGCCCGCGAGATGGGCAGCGGCATCATGACAAATGATCACGGCGGAAGGGGCTTTGCTGTTTTCGGTCTCCGGAGGCTTTCGCTGAGCTTCTTTCGGGCTGTCCCAAAGGGGGGTCCAGCGACAAGGGGTGGTGCAATACATTTGGTGCAATAGATTTGTGGGGTTGCAGTACGCTCGGGGCGTGCAATACATTCCGGGGCGCAAATGTACTCCTGGATGTTCGCGTGCAACACAATGCCATACAACTCTCCGGCGCAATACGTTTGCAATACAATTGCCCAAAATTCGGGGGCCCCCAAACGGTGCGGTGACCATACCGTGCGGTGAGTCGGTGGGGATTCGGGGTCACCGCGCGATGTTGGGACTCGGGTCGGCGGTCTCCGAGGACTTCTCGGACGACAGGGGCCTCCGGGGTCCCAACACCGTGCGGTGACGGACCGTGCGGTGAGGTCTTGGGGGATTTCGAGGTCACCGCACGGTCTGTCATCGTACCGTTTCGGGATTCCCAACAAATCTATTGCACCACCCCCTTTCAGTTGGACCCCTTTGTGGATCACACACATTCTTATGGGGAATGTTTTGGAGTCATCGCGCGGCGCGTAACAGTTGTATCATCCAGTCCAGGCGTCAGCTCCGTAAGCTATCGGTCGACGCTTGCGCGGCGATGCTCTGGCGTCGGTCAGACGCGAATCCGATGCAATTCCGACGTGAGCCCGACGTAAATCCGACGTTGATCCGACGTAAATCGTGTCTCAAAGTGCCGCGCGAGGCCTCCAGGATTTTCTTAACAAGACTCAGGATGAAAAGCGGGTCCCGGGGAATGGGTCGAGGCGTCTGTGGGTCAGCGTCGGGGATCCCAGGGTATTTCGGCAGCGCGCAAAACGCAGCAGATAGGCACCACTTTCTCGGTGAGATGGCGCAAGCGACCCAGATCGACGATACGATGTTCAATCCGGGCATCGGCTTCTGGGGCCCGTCATCATCGGGCTCCAGGGCCATCAAACATGGATCCAGGACGAGAAGCTGGTCCCAGGGGAGGGGTCGGGACCTCTGGGGCCGCGCGCTGAAACAGCCATAGTGGCGGATGTCAGGAAATAGCGCAGTCGAAGCGGCGGAGAGCGCCACTCTCCTCCTCCGCCTCCTGGCATGAACTCGGTCATGTGGAAAAGGGGTCGTGGAGGTTCTTCCTAGCTAGCTTTCGGGCTCCAGAGGACCCGGGGCCTTCGGAAAACGGTTCGTGGTCGAAACATGCATGGTCCGCTGGGTAAGCCCAGCCCTGGGCTCTAGGACTCACTTCTGCTCGCATGCTCTCCCGGTGTTCCGGCGCCTGGACAAACTGCCGTGAAGGTACTTCACAGAGGTTGGCGTCCCGACACCGTTTCTCGGCCCTTGGGGGATCACGATGGGAGCGCGAGGGAAGATCGAGAAGGGGAATTGGGGGAGGGGATGGGTGAGCGGACGCGGGACTGAGGACGGGGAAGGCTCCCCTTCGTTCGGTTGCGACTGCACGAAGAAGCAGCGCTACCGCTCGTGGATCACCTTCGGGCCGCGCGTTCGCACAGGATCGGCGCGAGCCGCCGTCAGAGCAGGCTGATATTGGTCTCCTCCTCCTCCTCCATCTCCATTTCCTCCTCCTCCTCCTCCTCCATCTCCTCCTCCTCCTCCTCCTCCTCCTCCTCCTCCTCCTTCTCCTCCTCCCTCCTCCTCCTCCTCCTCCTCCTCCTCCTCCTCCTCCTCCTTCTCCTCGTCCTCCTCCTCCTCCTCCTCGTCCTCCTCCTCCTCCTCCGCCTCCTCCTCCTCCTCCTCCTCCTCCTCCTCCTCCTCCTCCTCCTCCCTCCTCCTCCTCCTTCTCCTCCTCCTCCTCCTCCTCCTCCTCCTCCTCCTCCTCCTCCTCCATCTTCTCCTCCCTCTCCTCCTCCCCCTTTGGCTCCATAGGGAGCTCCACCCAAGGTCCCAGTGGCGCCGTCCGCATGGCGGCGCCGCCCAATTTGTACATTCCTCATACGTTCCGTGGCCCCACCAGGAGCTCCACCTCGGGTTCCGGTTGCGCAGCCCACATGGCGGCTCCGCCCAATTTCGGCACGCCCCTCACACGTTTCGTGGCCCCATAGGGAGCTCCACCCAAGGTCCCAGTGGCGCCGTCCGCATGGCGGCGCCGCCTTATTTTGGCACACACCCATGCGTTTCGTGGCCCTACTGAGCGCTCCACCTGAGGTCCCGGCGCCGCCCAATTTCAGCACGCCCCTCACACGTTTCGTGGCCCCACAAGGAGCTCCATCAAAGGTCCCAGTGGCGCCGCCCACATGGCGGCGCCGCCCAATTTCGGACCATCCCTCATGCGCTTCGTGGCCCCATGTGAAGCTCCACCTAGAGTTCCAGTGGCGCCGTCCGCATGGCGTCGCCGCTCCATTTCGGCACACCACCCACACGTTTTGTGGCCCCCTAGGGGGCTACACCCAAGGTCCGCATGGCGGCGCCGCCCCAAGTGGGCACACCCTTCACACGTTTCTTGGTCTGGTAGGAAGCTCCACCTGAGGTCCCAGTGGCCCAAATGGCGGCGCCGCCCAATTTCGGCACACCCCTCGCACGTTTCGTCGCCCCGCAGGGAGCTCCACCCAAGGTCCAACACCCTTCGCACATTTTGTAGCCCCGTAGGAAGCTCCACCCAACGTCCCAGTGGCGCCTTCCGCATGGCGGCGCCGCCCCATTCACACCTTCCACACCCAAGGACCCAGCGGCGCACTTCCCATGTAAGCTTTCCTTCCGTTTGGGCACACCTCTCACACGTTTTGATGCCCAGAGTTTCTTCCGTTTGCGCGCTTGATTCGCCCGTTGCGGTTCCGGGCCCACAGATCATCACACGTCGATCTGGCTCGAAGAGTGCGATCGTTTTTTTCGCGATGCTACGTCGATTCTCAGGGTGCCGGTACCGCTGATCGTCCTGTAGAAGATATGCCGCTACGGCTGGATTCCCTTCAAAATTCAAATCCGAAAGTGGTGGTATCGATACCTTTCCTCTCCCCACCCCCCCAGGCTGGGGAGGGTTTCGAGCGGGGCAGTGGTCGCTCAGAATCGAATACATGAATGGGAGCATACACATGAATCTTCGGAGCTCCGCGCGGATGTCTTGGGTCAGCGCGCAGACCCCCCATGGGGCGCCCCCGGCACCAGGGGAACGGCTCGGCGCGTGCCCCAGGTCACCCCCAGTAATTCGGAGGTGCGGTCGGTTCGTGCGGCGTGGGCGCGCCGCCGACGCTGACGAAGGCATTCAAGGTTTGATCTTGCGACCTGGAAGCACCAATGGACACGGTTATTGCATTGGGCCCGAGTGAATGCAGCCTTGAACGATCGGCGTTGCCATCGGTCAAGATTGAACAATCGGCGCGGTGTCAAAAACCGTTGCAACCGCCGCCGCCGCATAAACCTACCGTAGTCGCGCTTCTCGCGTGGCGGTCGAGGCGAGAACGCAAGATGCGTATGGATTCAGAAGGGCCTTCGGTTTCAGGACCGTTCCTTACATCTACGCCGGGGGACCTAATCGCGGCCAGGAGTCGCCGATAGTCAGGATGGGCAACCTTCCCAACGGTGCCCTCGCATCCGTGCCTTTTCGGTCCATCCTTGGCGATTTTCGTTGGCCGCGCCCCGCTCGAGAAGCTCCGACAAAGGCGCCCAAGGCCCTTGCAACCTTCACGCGCATCTTTCTGACACGGGCCGACTCTTGCCCTGTGCGCTGCACGCCTCTGTGCTGTCCAGTTTTTCACAGTCCTGCGAGCTTCTGTGCGCTCCGAGCGCTGGGGCCGGACGCCTGCCCCCACGGGCCCGGGAGGAGGAGGAGGAGGAAGGAGGAGGAGGAGGAGGAGGAGGAGGAGGAGGAAGGACAACGACGGGGACGACCATCCCGAACCAATTTCAGCTCAATCCCTCCGTTGCCAGTCCATCGCCGATGCGCTGCGATCCTCCGACCCCGCCTGCTCGGACCCCCTCTTCGAGCCCCCTGGCCGAGGAGGACGGGAGGTAGAGGGTTATGCTGTTCCAACCTACGTGAGCCTTGATCACCATAAAGAATTTCGAGCGCCAGAGAAAGGACCGAAACTCAAGGGTTTTCGCGTGTCGGGCCCTGGGAGACTCGTCCGACACTGTTTCGACACTCTGCACTTTTCCCGGTGCTCGAAATTATTTATAGGATGTGGTCCTTGAGTATCGGAGGTGGATAGACCTCCTACCCTGACACGTCGATTAAGGAATTGGCCGCTTTCGGTTCGCGAGAGGGGGCGTCGTTGCCGTCATTTTTGCGGGTCCAGGTCCGTCGGTTTCGGGCCCAGGCCGTTTTCACTGATGGGAAGTTTGCTAAAGGGAGGTTTGTCCACCGCCGAGTATGGCTGTGCCCTTCGCTAGGATCAGTTTTTAACAGGGATGGTTGGGGGGGCCGCATAGGGTTGGCCGCGCATGCTCCAAATGTGGAGGCAGAGTGTGTTGTGTATTGTTTGTTGATAGGGATGGTGGGGGGGAGCCTCATGGTGTCCTCATTGTTCCTGGTTGGCTACTGGTCGCTTGGAGGAGGGGGTGGATACTAATAGGGAGCAGTGATTACCACACCCTCTTAGATAGCAAGCCGCCTAGCTCACTTCCGCCCGCCCTCCCAACACATAAGTATCACCCGAGCCTCAGCATTTGCAGCGGTCGTCTTTGGATGGACAGCTACTGGGAACCAACACCGACCCCATGTGCGCGACGCTGTGGCGAGGTGCGCCACGCGTGCCAGGCGCGCCACGCGCGCCAGGCCCCCCTTTGGCCCGGGCCTGCCAGGCACGCCTGGTGCGCCAGATGCGCCACGTGCTCCGCGTGCGCCAGGTGTGCCGCATACTGCAGCCGTGCCAGGCGCACCACGTTCGGGGCAGTATGTCAGGTGCGCCTGCGCACATGACAGCACACATCTGGAAACATGTCGGCCCCCACCATCCCTGTCGAAAAACAATGCCCATCATTGTGCCTGGTGGGCCTGCGCACAGCAGGCCATACACCACCACCCCCGCTGTCTCTGTCAAAAACCACTTGACAGTGACCGCGGGGTGGCCGCGCATGATCCAGATTCAGACGCAAGGTGCATGTTGTATTGTTGGTTGTTCGGGATGGTCGCCCTGCGCACAGCAGGCAACATGCTGACCCCCGCCGCCCCCGTCAAAAACAATACAAATTCGAGGGCCTCACGAACATGATTCGAGAGTTTGCCCCAAATTGTATTTTGCATTGTTTTTGACAGGGATGTGGGGGGGGTCGCATCGGGTTGGCCGCGCATGTTTCTGATCTGGAGGCAGAGTGCGTTTTGTATTGTTTTGTTGTCAGTGATGGTGGGGGGGTGAGAACGGTGTCCTCATTGTCCTTGGTGGGCTGCCGGTCGCGGAAGAGGGGGGTCGGAAGAGACAGGTCTCTCGACCACCTACGCCCTAAAGGGCCAGTGGGATTTGGAAACATCTCGGGGCTTCCCAGAACCTTGCAAAAACGACCGCGCGCCTGCTTGCAAGTGCGCCTGCTCGCAAGTGGTCGTGTAGCCCCCTCCGATGGTCACAGCCGGGACCGCTTGGGTCTGACCCGGGGGCCGTCGTGCCAAGAGGCACCGCCCTTGCCCGCACGTCGGCAGTGGGCCACGCGCGTCGCTGTTTTCCCAGGCTGGGGCAGGAGGGCGTACGCACCGAGCCAAGGCCCGGGGCCTGTTCAGGATCGGGGGCGCAGCACGGGGGCCTCGCCATGAAGCAAACGGCTCCTGTGGGAGACGGGCCCCCGGAGCGGTCCCGACTTCATGGTAGAAAAGGAGCGTCCCAGGAATGACCCCAGGGTCCATCTTCATGGCGATTGGCACGAGGTGGAAGAGCAGCAACATGAGCAGGTCAGCGAGGACTGGGGCGACTGTCGGTGGAGAGCAGGTCCTTTCCTGAGGAGAAGAAGGACACGACGAGAATTGCACGACTGGCAACAAGTCTGCAGGCGTTGGGCGCTCGAGAGGTGAACCGGGTTGGTACATGCGGGGTCCAGGGAAACCCTGAAACAGGTGATCATTTGGGACGTTGTCCTCTCAGCTTCGCTCGGACGCGTGCGCTTATCTCGGGCCGAACGAAAGGGGGGGATAGGGAAAGGGGGGGTACGACATCCGCTACATGCAGCTGGTTTCGCCCCCGCCGCCGGGCCCATTCCTCGATACATGGGCGCCTCCCGGCGCCGGGAGGTACTGGGACAATCAGCTACGTGAGCTGATTTTTCTACCCTACCCTTTTTCTATCCCCCCCTTTCGTTCCCCCCGACTTACTCGGCAGGGACCACCGAGGAGCATCTTGGGCCATCCTGCGAAAAGAAGGCACACGCGCGAAGCCGCAGAGAATGCACGGGGAGTGACCGTCCAAGCGATGGCGAGTCCTGCGGAGAGATGAGAAGAAGCCTGCGGGGACCGCGGCCCCTGGCCCCGGCGACCGCGGAGCAAGCGCGCGTGCCTCATGCTGTTCCAACCTATTGTGGCCCTGTTCACCAGCAAGAATTTGGAGTACCAGAAAGGTGCCCCAAAAACTCTAGGGTTTACGCGTGTCGGGCCCTGGGAGACACGACACTGTTTCGACACTCTTTCGACACTTCTCCGGGTGCTCGAGAGCATTTCTGGGATGTGGTCTTGCAGCACGATGGGACCAACATAACGCTTGCAACGAAAACCAGCACCGCCGCGCACGCTGGTGGGCGGCGGCGGAAGAGCGAGCGCGGCGGTGACAGGCGAGCGAGCGCGGTTGTCGGCACGTGCGCGCAGCCCTCACTCTTCTGAGAGAGGAGGATCGTCAGCCACGCGCAGAGGGGGTTGGGGAGGGGGGAGGGCTTCTTAGAAGCGCCCCTGCTTCTCAGAAGGCGCGGGCGTAGGGCCGGCACCTTCTCAGAAGCCCTTTTCCTTTCCTTCACCCCTTTGTGCGCGCCGTCAAGATCGAGGATTGAACAGGATGAGGATGCATCGAGGTGGGGCCCGAGGAGGTTGCGGAGGAGGAGGAGGAGGAGGAGGAGGGCAGAGCTCGTTTCGGTTCGATTCGGTTCGATCTCGATGGCTGCGGTTCCGACTCGATTCGACTCGGGATTCCGATTTCGGTTCCGATTTCTTAATTGGAGGCAGGCTAGCTAGCCTGCCGATGTTCGCCGATTCGACTTCTCCCGACTCGGCTGCCGATTTCCGCCGATCCGACTCCTTTCGATCGCCCATCCGACTTATCGATTCGATTCTGGGCGTAAGCCGGGCTTGTCCCTTTACAGGAGGAATTTTCAAAAATAGTAAACAAAATAGTCAGGGGACGATTTGTTCGGTATTTTGGTATTGAATCGCTTCGCTCATTCCGCCGGCCCATTTCGCATGACTGAGCCTCTTGGGGCCGCTGGGGGGCCTCTTCAGCGTCGCTTGGGGGCCTCCTGAGGGCCTCGGGGCTTTGGGGGCCTCTCAGGGGCCTCCTGGGGGCTTCTTAAGGCCGAGGACTCGAAGTTTTGTTTTGTGTTCCCCCTTTGGGGCATCGCTTGGGGACCTCTTGGGCCCCTCTTGGGCCATCTTGGATGCTTCTGGGGCCGTCTTGGAGCCCTCTTGGGCCATCTTGGGGCCTTCTTGGGAGCTTCTTGGGCCCTCTTGGGGCGATCTTGGGGGCCTCTTGGGCCGTCTTGGGGCGTCGGGAAGCCGAAAAGATGGACACGCCAAAATCTGCCCAAAACCTAGAGAACAGTGCCTCTTGGGGCCCTCTGGGGAGTGCTCTTGGAGGCCTCTTGGGGCGTCTGGGGGCCATCTTGGGCGTCTTGGAACGATCGTGTGGCATCTCGGAGCACTTCTGAACCATCTTGGAGGGCTCTTGGCGGCCTTGTGGCCCTTCTTGGGGCTCTCTGGAGGGCCACGGGGGCGGCGCCCAGGAGGAAAACCATCTCTGACCCGACCCTGCCGGGGATCGCCCGGGGTACTTTTCGTCCGGGGACCCCCAGGGGCCGCCCCGCGCGCGCGAAGTAGAAGTATTATTTAGCAGTTACCGGAGATCTTAGCACGCCTCTGGCCCGTTGGGCCGGCAATTTTTTTTTACTATGTTTCATTTGTCGTCCAAACTTCCCGTGTAGGAGGACAGGCCCGACTCAACTCTGGGCTCTCCTGGGAGAGGACCCCTCTCTGGGCGGCGGCGCCACGGGGGAAAGCCGCAGGTTCGCAAGGTGGGCGCCACGAAGTGCAAGCTCCCGCTGGCGAAGGCCGTGGCCGCGCTCCCCGTGGGCGAGAGCCGGGCAGGACGGGCCCAGACCTCCTCGGGGGCCTCGCGACGGGGAGTCAACCAGGGCTCATTCCGATTCCAAGAATTTCGATTCGATTCGATCGCGATGGGTTCCCATTCCGAATCGAGTCGGCTCGGGGTTCCGATTGGGGTTCCGATGTCTCGCCGGACGCGTACAAGCCTGCCGACTTCAGCCGATTCGGCTCCTCCCGACTTGGCTGCCGATTTCCGCCGATCCGATTTTAAATTCGATCGCCGATTCGACTTTTCGATTCGATTCTGGGCCCTCCTGTCAATGCAGACGGGGGTCGGCCAGGGCGCTGGGTCTTGTAAGATCCTGCAGAGCCAGGGCTGCACTGACCCGTGCTTGCGTGCAGGATCCTGCAGGGTCGTTGCATCAAGGGAGGGAAAAGCCACCCAGACCCCGACACAGGTGGCTTTACTGAGCGGCCCTGGGCGTTTACTAAACAACCCTGCCCTATTCGACTCCTTCCTTAGGTGCGTTTGCTAAACGGCTTCGCTTGCCAGGGTGCTTATTATGGGTGTGGATTTTCGAGGACACGGGATTGTTGAGTATGCGGTCTGTTTGACCTTTTCTTCATTCTTCTTTGTTTTCTTTCTTCTCTCTGTTTCGTGTTCGTGTAGAGCTGTGCGTAGCCCGCCTAGCTTTTACCGGAAGAGGTTCGCTCTCGCCCCGCAGACCAAAACACAGTTTCGTGTTCGTGTGTACGTGGATGGTGTGTGCGAGCGTGTGTGTATGTGTGTGTGTGTGTGTGTGTGTGTGTGTGTGTGTGTGTGTGTGTGTGTGTGTGTGTGTGTGTGTGTGTGTGTGTGTGTGTGTGTGTGGGGGGGGGGATGTTTCCTCTTGCCCCTTGCAAAAACCCGGCGGACGTCTAGACTTTCCCTCCCCCTTCCCCCTTATTTTCTTTGGGGGGGCGGAAACATCCAGCCACAACCACACAAACACACACACACACACACACGCACGCACGCACGCACGCACACACACGCACACACACACACACACACACACGAACGCACGCACGCACGCACGCACGCGCGCGCGCGCGCACGCACGCTCACGCACGCACGCACGCACGCACGCACGCACACAAAAACACACACACACACACGCACTCACACACACACACTCACACACACACACTGACACACAGACGCATTCACACGCACACGCACGCACACACCACCACCACCTCCCATCCCTCCTCCTCCCTACTCCTGGGGGGGGGGCTGCCCCCTCCTGCAACAATAACAACAAGAACATAAACAAAGAAAAGCTCGGCAGACTTTCAGATTTGCTTCTCCTTTTTTTTCTGGGGGTGTGGGCGGGGTGAGGAACACATCCAGCCCACACGCGCTCGCACACACCACCACCTACCACCTTCCCTCACTCCTCCTTCCTACTGTAGGATTTTGCCCCCCCCCCCCCCCCCTCAAAAAAAAAAGAATACACAAACGAAGCGGACTTCCAGATTATTCTTCAAGCTTACGCCACATCCGCCGACCCCTTGTTTTTTTTTCTGGGGCGATCGCCGGTTTTGGGAGGGGCTCTGTTGGAGGCTCTGTGAGGCGGCCGGAGGGGTTCATGAGTGGTCTGGATGTCATCTTGGTCGATCATTTTTTTTTTTGGTTCTTCTTCCTTTCTCTGGCGCGTCGGGGTCCTCTTGGATTGCCTGTGGGCCTTCTTGGGAGGTCTCAGGGGTCGTTTTGGAGCTCCGGAGCGAGCCCATGGACTTGGGCGCCTCGTGGGTCGTCTTGGCGCCCTTTTGGGGACGTCTTGGGAGCCTCTGGGCCCTGGACGGCAATGCGGGACGACGTCGCGTTCACACTGCGACGCAAAGAAGGGCACCCTGAAATGCAAGACATGCAAATGATGTCCAATCGGACGCGCGTACTGGGGAGGAAAAGGAGGAGGGGGAGAAGAGGATGGGGGGGGTGGCGGAGGATGGCGGGGAGAAACATCGAAGAGGATGAGGTGAAGCGGACAGGAAAAGGAGGAGGGGGACGAGGAGGAAGTGGAGGAGAAGGAGGGGGAGGAGGGGACACTGAGATGGGCCTCTGGGTCATGGGTTAGAGCTTTCTTGCGTGTGTAACGGGATCTCTTGGGGGGCTTCTCGTGGGACAGTTTCGAAGCCTCTTGGGAGCCGTTCTGGGGCCTTGTGGGGCCCTCCTGGAGGCCTTTTGGGGCTTCTTGGGGGCGTCTTGGGAGCCTCCTGTTAATCAGCTATGCCAGTTGTCAATAAACTGAAGGTGCGCGGCGTTCAATCGAGCTTCTCGGGCTTACGCCACACCGTCGACCCCTCGTATTCTTGGGGAGTCCGACGTTGGAGCGCTCCTCTTCTCCTCCTCTTCCTCCTCCTCTCTTTTCGTCTCCTCCTCTTCCTCCTCTCCCTTCTCTTCCTTCCAATTCGTCCGCCAGGGGGGCTGGAGTCTTGAATGTCCCGAACGAGTGGTACCAGGAGAGTCGTTGGGGCCCTCCTCTTTCTTCTTCAGATGGGGTCGAACGATCCACTTCCTAGTGTGAGTCGTTGTGGGCCGTCTTTGGAGCCTCTTGGGCCCTTCGCCCTCTTGGGCTGTCCTGGGCGCCTCGTAGCAGCGTCTTGACCCCCCCGGGGGATCCGGCGCATCCGGCCGGACCCCCCCCCCCTCCAAAACGACCGGACCGGGCTCCTGGGGGAGGGGTTTGGGGAGGGGGAAGCATCTCACACGCCCATGACCCCAAGGGGTCGGCGGATTCACGACGAATGAGTTCGCCGCGAAGTCGGGCCCGAGCTTCTGCTGCGACTGCATGGAGAATTTGAAGGGGGCAGGAGAAAAGTGGTGCACGACTTGTGAGCAATGGGCTGAGATGGCGTCCACAGTGGCGGGAGGGGGGGTCGAAAGGAATAGAGTGTTCGTGCGGACAAGCAAATGCGACCGGTGCGCAGGGCCCGCCGCCGCACGGAAGTCACGGAAGACATCGGAGGCGTGGCGGGGGCAGGTGCAGGAGAAGTTTAAGATTCGATGCGGTGAATGCCTGGAATTCCTGAAAACGGAGGCAGAAATTGCGGCGAACCAGTATGCGACGAAAAGCGCGGGAGAGAAGCTCTGCAAGAAGTGCGCGGGGAAAAGAAAAGGCGGGTGGAACAAGTGGAGCAAATCGCAGAAGGAAAGAGAGTGCGAGAACGAGATGAACGCTGCGCGACGAGCTGCGCGCCAACAGAAGCCGCTGAAATGTTCTGCGTGTCCGTCAGAAGCGGATGGAACAGGGGGGACGTTCACAGACACACGACATTTGACGCCGGATCAACTGCAGAAGTACTACAAAACGGGCGCAGGCCATAGACCAGTGATGTGCCGATCATGCCAGGAGGAGCACGAGAAGTCGCGGGTGCTACGGTGCTCCGCATGCCCGAAGGGGGCGGATGGAAAGGGACCCGAAATCATGGACACACGCCATTTGACGGTGAGTCAGAAAAGGCATTATTGGGACACGGGCACGGCGCATCGCCCTGTCATGTGCCACGCGTGCCTGGAAAAGTCGGAGGCCCAGGTTTTCCGTTGTGGGGCATGCCCGAAGGGGGCGGATGGGAAGGCGCCCGCGTTTACAGACGTGAGCCATTTATCGGACAGTCAGAAAGAACATTACAGGAGAACGGGCCAAACGCATCGCCCGGTCATGTGCCGCGCGTGCCACGAAAAATCGGAGGCCCAGATTTTCCGTTGTGGAGCATGCCCGACGGGGGCGGATGGGAAGGCGCCCGCGTTCACAGACTTGAGCCATTTGTCCGATAACCAGAAAGTACATTATAGGAAGACGGGCCAGGCGCATCGCCCAGTCGTGTGCCGCGCGTGTCACGATGCGCGCACGGGGGCGAAAAAGTTTGAATGCTCCGCGTGCCCACCGAACGGGGACGGGAAGAAACCAGCGTTTTCAGACGGGGGCCATTTGTCGAAAGACCAGAAGAAGAATTATTTCAAGCGAAACAACCCAGTTGTGTGCGCGAAGTGTTTTAAAGCGGGACGAGCGCCGCGGAGAGACCCTCCGAAACGCCCGGCGGAACCAAGTGACGAGCATTGCGACAAGGCACGGAAGTTGCGAGGAATCTGACCGCTGGGGACGGGATGGATAAGGGGGACGTGGAGGAGGGAGGATGGGGGAGCAGCCAAAGGCGGAGAAGGTGAAAAGTGAGCCAGTGGAGGGAATACGAGACAGAAAGCTGAGAGGGGAGACGGGAGGAGGGGGCGGAAGAGGAGGATGAGAAGGAGCAGGAGAACACGACGAGGACGACAATGGCGGCGACAGACTCGACGGCGTAGGCTGGGCACCTTTTTGGGGCCATCTTGGGGGCTTCGTTGACCGTTGTGGGAGCCTCTGGCGCCGTCGTCGTGAGAATCCTCTCGGGGGCCTGCGGGAGGCAGTTTGGAGGCTTCTGGGGAGCTGTTTTGGGGCAGCTTGGGGCTTTTTTTGGGCTTGTTGGGGGCCTCTTGGGGGCTTCTTGGAGCCTCTTGGAGGCCTCTTGGGGCCTCCTTGGCGCCTTTTGGGGCGGAAGGCTAGAATTTTAGGTTCGTGGTCCCCGTCTGGAGCCTTTCTTGGGCCCCTCTGTGGGCCCTCTTGGACTGTCTGAAGGCCCTCTTGAGCCGTTTTGAGGCGCTCTTGGGCCGTGTTGGGGCCCACTTGGGAGCCTCTCGGGTCGTCTTGATGCCGTCTTGGGGGCTTCTTTCGCCGTCTTGGAGCGTCGGAAGCCCGAAAAAACGCGAAGGCCAAAAACGTTGAAAAAACCAATGGAAATCGACGATTTTGGCCTCTTGGGGCCATCTTGGGAGGCGTCTTGGAAGCTTCTTGGGGCGTCTTGGAGGCATCTGGGGCCATCTGGAGGCCATCTTGACCGTCTTCGAGTGTTTTTTCGGCGACTCGGGGCCCTCTTGGACCGTCTGCAGAGCTTCTTGGGAGCCTCTTCGCTCGTTTGCGGCCCCCCC